TTAAGCTACCTGCTTATCTGTGGTACTTGCAATAGGCGTCCAGTAGTGGCCGAAATGAGTGCTACCTATCTAAGTTGTAAGGAGCTCACTGCCGCATGCCCAAAAGTCACTTTTGTCTCAAGCTGCCACCGACTCCTTTCGTAGGTGTTTTGGTACTTAATGAGGCGAAACCTATTCTTTTCGACCCGGATCACAAGCATTCGCCATCGGAATTGGTCTTCACTGACTAGTATGAGGATGGTAGTGACCTACAGTACCTCCTACCTCTGACAAATATTGACCATGTCATCAGTGCCACATAATTTAGAACTTACGGCTTGGGTCAAAAGTCTATCGTTTCTAGACAAGATATTTGGAATGCAGAGCTTATAGAGATCAAGAAAATACAGGCCCCAGCGAGCTTGTGTCTCAGCACGGACCACACTACTGGAAAGGTTTAGGAAAAATTTGGGCAACGTCCGAGAATGCCGCATCCCTTTTCACTACCTGCCCAGTGCCATTAAGCCCACCTTGTGAACTCCACTGGATAGACAACAGGATCCAAAGGTTGTCATGGGGGAGGGAGCGCTACCGTGAGCCACTTACGGGCAGGGGCTTCTTTGATCAAGGCAGAGTACCACAAAGTTCAGAACTCTCTCGAGACTCTCAACACTGGGAGTTGCAATGAATGTGAACAGCAGTCAGTGCATGATTGCACTGCTTGCCCCAAAGAGCCTTAGTTGCATGTTGGGAGCAGGATCAGGAGGTATTCTGGAATGCATACTCCACTTCTCAACGAACAATTATTAGAATCGGACATGGAAAAAGGCGAAAACCAACCGGATTACCTCAGTAAGGTGTTTACGGTAGATAGAAATGTAGGAACGTCCAATATAGTCATGGTTGATTTTCCCAAATTCCAGGTGTGCCTAAGTCTTCTTCCCCGCTACCTATGTACGGGTTTAGGGCCTGTAGCGTTGTTTGTGATTTAAGTGGGTTACTACTACAGACTAGATTAGACCAGCTGAAAAAAACAGTTTAAAAATTGGGACCTGATGGTCATTCTAGCAAAAGTGCGGTGCTACACTCTAGCAGTGCGTCAGTAGGTGGGTTAGTGGTCCCGTGTATTGAGAAGTTAAAACGGTGGCAAACTGTGAAGCGGACGTATCCAAGGCATTTCGCATGCAGTGGTCGCTCTATGGGGTCCGGAAGTTTTTTGGTGTAGAAACATTTGGGATACTTTATCTTACGTAGTACTTCATCATGATTTCTGAATACGGGCAGCCTCTTGCTTGGAGCAGGCACACCAAAACGGTTCAAAGGCAGATTGTTGAGTTAGTGACAAGGCCCCCGCACGTTTCTGATGAACAGCGGTTCGAAGGTCGGCGCCATCGTATCACAGAAAAGGGAGAGGTCTTGCGATTGCTTTTGTGAATTGATCACGCTGTGATCGCCAGTATGGGAATTGGTTCTACACAGGACTGGCGGGCCCAAGGGGTAATCAGTAAGCATGCGTACTTGTTATGTGCCCATGAGTGCGGGACCAAGAAAGAACAAAATAGAGCAACCAGATAAAACAGTTTGTTTGACGGTCAAGACAAAATATCGATGCACTGAGACTAACTGACCAGAGCAGCTGGAACGACTAGCCACGCTGTGTATGGGCAGCACAATATAACGGGACAGCTAGCCGAAAGGTGCGGATGTCTGGATATGTACTATCAGCTCGATAAGTCCGTCAAAACCACAAAAACCAGGATCACTGATGAATCTCGTCAAACTGTAGACTATTGGTTTTGAGGCCTTGGTTGTCGCTGCAAGTTTATCTCATCCTAAATGATGACTTGGGTTTTGACTTCCAGTTCTGGTTACCTAAGAACCGACGACAAAATTGTCTAAAAACCCACTGCCGAATACACTGTGAATGGAACTCGGATTCTGCCAAGGAACGTGAAACAGATTTAAACCTGTTAAGGTGAAAACTCCTTTAGTGAACGCTTTTATGGGAAACTGTATCTTCACAGAGGTTTGTGGAGGTGACTCGACAAGTAATCCTCAGTGGTAAAGGCTGAAAACTGAGGACAATGATTGATTGACTTCCATGCTGTGTTTTGTCACATTTGATTTGTGGCTTCAGGCGTTTTACGTTTTTCAGGACGGTGGTTGCTAGCAACTGTCATTATAATTTGTATTTATAAAGGGATTATGTACATGGAACATTAGAGGTTGGACTTTTAGGGAATGGCAACAGAGTGGAACATCATCATTTGTTTTCTAAGAAGGCAGCGTGAAACGGTAACCCCGTATTGTTCTTCATGGATTTAAAACCAACGCTAGACTACACCAAGAGGTGTTCAGCACGATAACCCCCTCTAATACACAGAGCAGCGAATACTCTCGAGAAGGTGCGGAGAAAGACGACAAGGTCGGACTATGAAGAGGACAGAATCTCACTAAGTGGTCCTATAGTCTTGCAGAAAAATGCGCCTCGCCTCCTAAGCAGGGGGACAGAGCTTGATAATTTAGCACACGTAGAAGTTCCTGACATGAATAACATCTCACGAACTTGGCTGTCTCCTGGAATCAGTGGTAGTGAAGCACATTTATGAGGATTTGCCCCCTTTAGAAGTGGTAGGCTGGCACGCACAAGAGGCGGAGTCATCCGTTTCGCTAACAATACCTCAGCTGTAAAAGCCATAGAAACAGTTGCACATGAAAACGAGAACATATGAAACGCAAGAGGCAAGATGTTAAACTAATCGTAGTATACTGAAGCCAGAATATGAGGTAGAAGACTTCCTTCTAGACAAGGTGACCCTGTAGGCAGGTGACTGCCGACGATCACTTGTATGGGACTTTGAGGCACCATCAGTCAGGTGGGTCAGACCAACAACAGGAGCATCGCGCATCTCGTTTGATAGAAGGTTAGTGAAAGCATCAGTTTTCTTGGTCTATATACAGCACATTACGACGGTAACCAGATGCGATCATCAGTATGTTCTCGCACGCGGATGTGTGCTTCGTCAGGCACTCTGCACCCTTTGATCAGAGTGACCATATCGTGATCATCTTCTGATTCACTGCAGTTGTCTTGTGCCCGGTCGATTCCCTGGCTAGACCCAATGTATGGAAAACGAATGTGGCAGCTACTAAGCCTTCAGTCTCTTCGGAGGAATAAACGGTCATTCCCAAAGCCCCGCTTGAGGCTTCATGGTGCTCCCTTGAACATTTATGTGCTTGGCTGACCCAACGGTTCTTTTCGTGGAATGTCTTGAAGGGGCGGAAACATTGTCCTCCGTGGATAAACAACAAAATCCGAATCTCAATGCGACACAAGAAGAGGTGTTTGAGTCTTATCGCTCACTTCAGCACTCCCAAGGTGATCAAGCATTGCAAAGAAGCCCGGAAATGAATGCATTGCTGCAACCCGTCGGCATCGAACGTGATTCGAAATGTGCCTCGCCTAGGCTGCACCACAACTTTCGGACAGGGTATTTTCTCATGTGGATAGTAGGAATAACAGGTGATATGGCAGTCCCAGACGAGGGGACAGAAAATGACTGAAGTTATTGCTGCGTACTTTTCTACGGTCTTTACATAGAAGCGTTCTGTGGACACTAATTGTACAGTAGAAATGTGGCCGTCCGACGGAATGAACTCTGTAGACATCGACTACAATGGTGTACTCAAGGCACTAGGTACTCTGGACGTAGAATAATTGCACCCATCTAGCAGGCGAGTTCTAGGCTGTAACCATTAATTTATAGACCATTAAGTATGGCTAGTTATGCAGCGAAACTCCTCGAAAGCGTTCAAGAACTGTATCGCAGTTCATTTAGAGAGCGTCACTGGATTCTCTCGCTCGTAGCATAGCTTCCGTGGAAATTCCCTTGGTTTGATGAACGTTCTCGCAGACACAGAAAGTTGTGTTACGTCTGAGGATGATGAAATGCCTGTAAAAGTCATTTTAACAAACTTTGGCAAGGCTTTCGACAAAGTAACCCATTCCAGGTTGCTCGGGGAACTGGAACATTTCGGAATCACCGACAATCTGTTTGCATAGATCGGAGAGTTCTTTGTTGATAGGAGACAAAGAGCAAAGATCAACTGTGTCTTCTGCCTTGGAAGTCGGAAGAGAGTGGGCACTGGGAATCGTATTCCTAGGTCCCCTGCCATTTAACCCATACATAACTGAGCTGCAGAGTATTACAAACTCCCCAATGGTTTTCTATGCTGACGTCGGAAAAGCTGGCGGGGAATTAGGGATGACAAAGATGTGTGGGCATGAACATGGGGCACACGGACGACAACACCCACTGCATTGGTGGAACTTTACCCTCAGTACTGACCCTGGATGATTTACGAGTCACAGTCAGTTATGATTTTAAGCCCATGGCACACGTTAGATTAGCCATAGCTCGGATTCTTAGGGCACGTCGCGAACGGAGGAGAGGGCTAGTCATGCTTTACAGAACTCTAAGAAATAAATTTCGACTTGATCTGTCTTCTCTTTGCCTCGACACTGAGTAGCGGCACCACATAGAACACAGCCAGAAGATGCGAAAGCAAACGACAGATGCATTTTCCGGACAGTAGTGGTTCTCAGATTGAGTAATCAATTCTTGAAACCGACTACCAGAAGAAGCGACGTCCTCGTCATGAGTTGCCCGTGCTAATGTGGATAGGACAAGCACAGAGATCTACTGAAGAAGGATTGACATGGGCTCACAGTCTTCTACCCTCAGACAACAGGTGTGAATCTTGTCAGCATCCCCGTATCTCCTCTAAACAAACGAAGCTACAACCGGCAAAAAGTGCGTTCAAACAATCAACCAGTAGGCTTGTGACGAGTTCTGAGACAACCGAAGACGCACAACCAAAAACAGGGGGTTCAACCTCAAGATTTCGAGGCAAGCGCCAAAAACTACAAATTTCCTCTACTTGCATTCCTTCATTTAGATGTTGGATGTTGAACATCCAACGGAGAATCAAGAGGTCGTTACGAATATATTTTCACGTGAATGGAGTCGGGGTCTGCTGTTCATATTCATCCTGTCGTGTTGGCATCTATTGTAGATGCGTATGAAAGACGTATGGAAGAGTCTGAACGCGTTATTGGCACTCTTCTTGGTATGAAAGTACTGGTTTATTAACTGTTTTAGGAACGTGGGGAAAGGGGATAATTGAAGTCACTAACTGTTTCAGTGTTCCACATAAAGAGTCCGAAACTGAAGTATCCATGGACTTCGAATTCGGGAAAAGCATGGCCGCATTAGAACGTAAAGTAATTAGAGGTCGAAATATTTGTATTCTCAGGTTAACCGCAACCATAGCATCGTCGGATGGTACGCAACAGGAAACGAAATCACAGAGCATTATAAGTTAATCCATCAGGAATATTACATGCAACAGTCGAAAAATGCAATATTTTTGCTGGTGGATACGAATATGACTTTCGGTGACAAAATGGCTCTTAAGGCTTATCTATGCAGGCAGATGGGCATTCCAGGCGGAATACGAGGATTTATCTTCGTACCAGTTGAGGTTGAAGTTGAGTGTTATGGAGCAGAGAGATGTGCTGTTGAGATGATGGTTTCTTCTGTCGACCCTAGAAGTAAATTACAGCCGGAAGTAAGTGCTTATTTGTCGTTTACTACCTGGTTTTTGTGAATAATTTCAGCGACATCTCTGAAAATCTGCATCGTCGCGTTAGTCCTTTTCTTGAAATCAAAATTTGTGACACAGTGAATCAGTTATCGCTAGTTTCGGACCTTTGAGGTTTGATACGCCTGCTTCAGCACTATGCAACTACATTTTAAGTTTGAGGTTACTGAAAGCTAGGCCTGAGGCAATTTTTCGTCATTCATAACTTAGGAGGTTTGAGGTGGCTAGTTAGCGTGGAAAAACTAATGTATACAATGTGAAGGATGGTAGTTGTAATAGCCTATCTTGATCCTTAAAGTCAGGTTTCTTTTTGAAAAGATTTACCGAAAGAACTGTTACCGCAAGCTTTAGTATTAGGTTTCAGTTTATGAAAGAATTTGTTGTGATCTCTCAGATAATCAAACCTTTAAGGATAAGTGCTAGTCTTAGCCGTAAACATGTATGTGAGTGTTTGCTTCTTAAACGTGCTTATCATCACTCGCGATTTCTTTGATCCTACAAAATGTGGCCTCATCAGAACTTCAGGATAGTTGTGCGAACTGTGAGACCTTGATTTGACTTCTCATAGGATCATGTTCGTACACTTCCAAGAACTTTGTAATTGCCTTGTTTTCATAAGTTCTCATTGGTCCATCAATTAACATGAACTTATCGTTAAGTTCACCTATAACACTACCTGGTTGTCTAAACCAAAGTGGGTGAAAGGTGTTTTAAAAAAATGCCGTTTTTCTTGTAATTTGAATGTCTGTCAATCAACAGGTTTACTCCTGCTATCAGACCATGAAATCAAACAAGCATCACAATGCTCTTTGATGCATGTTCAATGGTGGAAGGAGCTTCAGAAGAAAGTCCTGGAATTCATCAGTTGGCTTATTGGCACCCAACAGCAAGCCGCATCTGTAACCCAGAAAAAACTGATGTCTCACGAGAGAGTCACCTATAGATAACCTCGGTCACAATGTGACTAGCTACAGCACTGAGTGCCACATGCTTCAAAGGCAAAAGTGGTTTTATTGATGAGTTTTACTGTCTTATATTCACAGCAACCACTTATCTACACATACCAGAGGTGCGATCAAAACTTCGAATCTTGTTCTGACTGATATTTTGATGTGATACTAGGAGCAAACAATTTTTTCAGTTGGCGTGTTAATGTCAACAATTTTGATGACTAAAAAAACATGAACAAACTCAGCACACATAAAAGAGGGATAAAACTGCAAACACGTGCTGCTGGATACACCAATGACTAACTTCAATACCACTTTTTGAGACAAGTTTCTTTGACAGATGGGAGGACACCGGAGAGCAAACGGGTAACTAGCTGAAATTAGTACTGATCAGAAATAGGTTGTGATACGACCAATTTTCTAACATGTGACAGAACGTTCTCTACCACTGATTACAATTTTACTCGCGAACCTCAATCAACTAGTTTACATCTCCTCATACGAATCAGGCCAACAGTAATAGAGTTCATCGACTGGTCCAATTTCTTGGTCTAGCCACCCTAAACCCTCTTCCCACCTAATCCAACTTCTCCGATCATGATACATCGAGCAAGGCGATGACTCGGCATGGGCAGTACATGTCCAGACCACCTGGGTTGATAAAGGTTCACAATCGAATTGCTCGTCTTGCGTAGTACCCTTCTCCTGACCTTAACATTGCACACACGCACGCAATGCTACAAAGATATCTGTGATCAAAACCTTGTAATCGCTTCATGTCTTCTACTTTTAAAGGCCATGTCTTAGCTGTACAATAGGACAGAACAAACTGCGGTGCAGCATACTCGTCCTTTGATAGGTGGTCGAATATCTTTCCAGTCGGTGCCACAAGTCGGCAAATGCCAAACGGTTTCTGTATTCCACCTACGATTTCTTCAGCAACCAGCCCGTTCGGGCTGATGCAACTCCCCAAGTAAGTGAAGTGGTCGACACATTCCACTCACTTGCTGTCATTAAACTGAGAGTACTTGCAGCAGACCAGTCCTGGAGCTTCACCTTACGTTTGACAGGTACCAGTGAAACACATGCTAGACATACTCAGATTTTCGCTCAACGCGTTCACAAGACTCTGTATATCGTCAGCATCCTCACTCAGTAGGACATTATCGTCTGCACATTCCAAGTCAACCAGATATATCTCCAGGGAGTAGGTCCATCCCTATGAAGTCAGACGTACCTGAGGTTATGTCCGTTAGTACATCTATGACGAAGTTAAATAGGAATGGTGACACTGGGCATCCCCAGAGAACACCACTAGTTGTCATCAATTCACATGATAACTGTCCATTAGCGCTTACACGACTGCGTAAGTTCAAGTAGACAGCTTTGATTAGCGTTACATACTTTCTCGGTACTCCCTTCACAGTCAGACACTGCCACAACATCCGACGGTCGACAGAGTCAAATGCTACCTTCAGGTCAAGAAATATGGTAAGTGTCGGCCACCAGTAGGTATAACTGTGTTCCAGAACCTGTTGGAGGGCGAAAGTGTGATCGATGCACCCTCGTCCAGATCTTAAACCTGCCTGGTTTTCTCGAAGCTGCCGTTCTTAAGCTTCAGTTAACGTCGAATGACTATAGACCAGAGGATCTTGGACAGAGTATTGGTCAAAATTATTCTCCTATGTTTGTCGATAAAAGATACCACCCTCTAATAGACTGGGGCGGTGAGTGATGTATACCAGTTTGTCGGCACTACCTCTGATTCCTGTTCATTAAATAGTACTTTCACAACTTTAATTAGCGATTTCCACTTCCATCCTTGAAACCTTCAAATGGTATACTGTCAAGCCCTGTTCCTATGCATCCTTTCAGGTTCGGTTCAACGTTCTCAGCTTTGGTGAAAGTTGGAGAACCGACATCTGCGTCCCGTTCAGGCTGGATGTCGGGCAACTGAAGTATTGATGGAGACCAGTTGAGTTGTGTTTCAAAGTCTTCTGCCTAATGTTCTAGCCGCCTTTTCTAGGAGGTTATTAATGTTTCAGCATTTTTGGTTATAGTTTCACTAACCATCTTCTTCTTGCTGTATACCTAGTAATGTCTAAATAGTTGCCGAATGTAGCCGGACGCTACATGCATGCAAAATCCTCGGTTTCCTTTCACTAAATTACGTCATGTTTGTCATGGCCGCCATATCCTGTTGTCTATTGAAGGTTGAGTTTACTATGCTTCAGTTCGCTTTATCTGTGAAGCATGTCCACTGGATGTAGACGACAGCCCTTCTGTGTTTTTGTTCACCCTCGCCTTTACAGCATATGCCGTGTGTCGTGGTGTCACCACATGAGTAATAAAGAAGTCAGGTGTAGAGCTCCAGGGAGGATAGGAAAGTCATTTGATGTGATTGTGAACCTTTTTCGGTTCAGATGGCTAGGGCATATGTTACGCATATCTAGTTGACGTCTGCCTTGCCGTGCAATGTTTGCTGAAGTAAGTTCATGTCGGAAAAAACGTTCGGAATGGTCAGTCTAAGACATGACATCACTGCATGAAGTCTGAGGATGTTGGTCTGAGCCATATGGAAAGATGCAGACTTACCGTTTGGGTTTAATGTACCAACAGAAATTGTTGGTTGGAGATTGGGCGATATGACTCAAAATTGACCTCAATGGTGTATTTCACACATCATCCCCGTCTTAACCGTCATATGAGGTCGAAGTTTTCTTATTCTTCTTTCCTGTCTCCTTACTACCCTATCAATTATATCTGCTCTTTTTTTTTTCCTTGTGTTTAATTTTAGTACTTTGTTGCTTGATATGTTGATATTAAGATGTAGCAATTTGGTCCATTAAGAAGTGATCCCGAGTCCGGTGTTTGTTGTTTTGATGACATTACGATTATTTCAGTTAAAGCAGTCACAAAAATTGATAATTTTCATTAGCATAATATCCTTTAGTAGTGCAAGCTCCGGTCAAGTAATCCCACAGTGCGTCTCGATCGATGAAGCTGAATGCTGCTCTTAGGGTAAGAAACGCGATGTGTCGAGTGGTGGTACATTTGCTATTACTGCAGAACTTTTGAAACGGTTGAAATCTAGTTGGTTCATTCTCATCAGATCTTTAAGTCTTTCTGTTCCGTAGCTATCTAGACATAGAATTACCACATACTTTATAACTAAAATAGTATGCCGGTCAAGTTAATTGTCATTGGCATATTGCTGTCCTTTTTCACGAACCGAAATGATCAATGGTTTAGCCCACTTAGATACGGCTGCCTCATTTTCATATATTTATTAGCATCTCCGCCCTTCTGACCTGCAGATGCTGATTACCGCACATAACTGCTGACCGTAAACCTTCAGATTCTGCTGATCTAACTCACTTGAGATTTATAATGGGTTCCCCAACTTCGAAAAGAGGGGGAGTAAACTATTTCTTTGGTTCACTCAAGTTAACAAATAGGAGCAATGCAGTTGAGCAATCGTCCAAAAGTTGATTCACTAAGTTATAAGCCATTTTTGTGTTGACGGTTTATGCTAATAATTGGCTTCTCCGATTTCAACAGGTACAGCTGGATTAAAATCCTCAATCCCACTGTATTGAGCTCGATTACACTAATGGAACGCCATTTTATAGTCGAAGTTGAGATGGCTCTAATCATCCACATGGCCACGCGTCTATAGCCTCTGCAAGGGAACTACTGAACTGTTTCCGTGATACGGGTGTTTTCACAAAAGTGGATGGAAGAAGGCTGTCGGTTTTGTAGATATGGGGTCCCACATAGAGGATCCGGAACATCCTGATTACAAACGTTGCTTTCCTACCTTGTGGACCAGGTTCCAAGTAAAAAGCTCAGTGGAGATAAAATGTTCTCAACAACCATATTCACGTCCATACAGAATGTAATAACCCATATCTGTTCTATGAGGACTAAGGATACTACCTGACTGCCCAAACGTCAATAGGTGGAGCGGACTTCGAGCCCTTGACCCGCTGGTTGAAATTTTTGTACCTAAACCAATGCGCAACTGCTCCTCTAAAATGAGGCTCCAAAAAGAAACCAAGTGGTTCTGTCTAAAAATCTGGACAGTATCACAGTTCACATATAAATCATGCAACAATATTAACAATCAGCGTTTCGAAGCATTTACCAAACGCTCTTGCAAACATTCCACTTTACTGCATTACAAAATTTGAACTAGATCATTTGGTGAGTGTTATTTCATTATTGTTATCACTTTAGCAGGCACTGTATTGGATGTTCGTTATCAGCAGGCATCTCTTGCCGAAACTCTGAAATGTTCAGCCACGGATGTGTTGTGTTTTCGAGGCATGTATACGGGACCCGCGTATGGTTACATACTTCATCTCACCTGACCAGTGTAGTGAATCTGCAAAATTCACTTTGTGGGTGTCCAGAGGTCCAATGACTAACTCTACTAAACCCTCTGGTACAGGTATAGCACTAATCTTTCGAACGGACAGCGACAGGATATCAATCAACAGCTACCTGTCCAAACAAATACAACCTAAGTTTCTCACCTATCTCTGCTCTTTTGCCTTTGGTTCCTGTTGCCAATACTAATCCTCTTCTAACTTACTCAACCTCTCACTCTAGAGTCATTGCAAACTATCAAAGCCACCGATCCCTCATTCCTGGTCTCCTAGGACCTCGTTTCGATTTCGTATTAGGTCTTTTAACGTCCGAAACCTATGCTAAATCGAACAGGGGAGATCGCTCGCCAGCACTCTGGGGTCTCAAGCCATGAATGTATGGTGTGTTTCTCAAACACGCATACAGGACTCAAGTATGGTTATTTACGTGGCTTCATCTAGTCATTGGGATGAATCTTCAAAATTCCTGGTGTACGCTCGACATTGACCTGTGGTACAAAAGTGCGCTTTTCGACGGATACCAGTCAACAGCCGTCTATGTGCTAAGTACTAGGAAGGACCATAAGACTAAGTGATCCTATTTATAATCCCCGCCGACTGCAGTCCGGATGAAGTGATGGGTGACTTGTTTGAGAAGCTTCGAATTTCGCTACGGAAAGCAAATCATCATCTATCAACATGGGACCAGGCATTACTGCGTAACGGTCCGAGTTGCCACACTTCATATCAGTACATCAAGTAAAAAGGCAGTGAGGTGCAAGATGAAGATAAGACAATGCAGTCAAAAGAAATATACAGTACGAAAAGAAAAAAACAAGAATGAGGAAGTGGTGAGATTCGGTATAGCGTCGTTAAGATAGGCATAATGTATGTATACATCTGAGCCACTGACATCGGTTCCGAGCCATATCCCCTAGAGTCTTCAACCCCTGCTTCCTCTTGTCCCCGGCCCCAACCAGCTAATCTGCATTGCCCCACATGGCTCAAATCAACAGTCAAAGACTTCATACATTGATGCCATGTTTTGGTCTGTCCGTCTTGGGTCTTTTACTAGCCTGAACCTACTTCGTCAACATTGTGTGTGACGAGGAAATCGGCGAATAGGCATACGCAACACATGTCCCAACCATTAGCGTCGATGAAGGTTCATAACTGTGTCAACTGATTTACCTCTTCACCCTAAAACTCTGCTCCTGACTTCTACGTTACTCACGTAGTGAGACTGGAGATGGCACGAAGCTTCTTCTGGGTGATTAGTAATAGTGTTCTGTTCTGATAACTGCCTAGTCAACATCTCACTGAAAGCGGTTTTGGTGTTTTCGTTGTAGAGCTGCTGTCGTGATGGTTTTGTTTCGAAATTTTCCCCACGACCATTGAGAGACAGGCATATACGCGCTCGGACCAACACGTGATCGCTGTTCAAACACGTTCAGCCGGGATTCTGAAAGTGTTAACTAACTGCTGTTCTGCCTCATTCAGTCTACCCACGTGTGCATTGAAGTCACCTGCAACAACCACCACGCCCGAACGTTTGGCTTTCGAGAGGAGGTTAGACAGCTTTCGGTAGGACTCGTCCTTCACTTTATCCGAACTGCAGCCAGTGGGTGCATGAGCAGAGATTACAAAGAGACAACGGCGAGTTGCACTATTGCTTTTAGTTCTCACTGTGCCATTCAGTCGGACAGCGCAGAGGTGACTATCAACTTGGATCCAGTCTAGTAGTGAGCTTTCTGCCCTAGTGCTTAATGCTATGCCCACTCCTGCAACATCGCAAGAGCTAGCCACCGAATCTCCAGAAACTCGATGGGTGAATTTTGCGGATTCATAAGTTTGGCCGGGAGAGGCCAGGTGAACAACCCCACTTGACTTCTGCATGCGTGTCTCACAAACACAGCACACACCAATGGCCCTAGTTGCTAGAATCTTTGCCAATGATGAAGCCTGTTGACCTATTTGATGGAGGGTGCGGACACTGAAGGCTCCAATATGTAAGTTGGCGCGGGGTTTAAGGAGATCAAGGATGCTGCCATGTGAACTCAGATCGTTGACGAAGACTGCAGAGATAGGAGAAATTGAAGATGATGTGGTATCGTCAGTTGAGAGATGTAAAGAAAGATTGGAAGGTAATGATGGGGGAGGTGGAAAGCAGTCTGAGGAAACTTGAGTGCTGGTCGAGTTGTGAGGGTGGTTGACACTTTCCCGCTGCCCATACCGTGGAAGACTATTTCTTCTTAAGGTACCTGAAAGAGATTTACTCAGTATATATATATATATATATATATATATATATATATATATATATATATATATATATATAATATTTTTCCCCACGTTTAAGTCACTCGTTTCGAGGAATGGCGAAAGTTCACTTTCTCAGACATTCTCACTGGCCACAGCTTTGAAACATTCTTCTCAGTGCAAATAGTTATTTCTCACTACTCAACATTTCTCCTAACTCTTATAAAGTCTCTAAGTCGTTTTGTTTGTAGGCTGCGTTTGCATCTTGTTGAAAACAAATTCAAGTAAAAATAGTTTTGGTGCTTAAGTTAGTTAGAAAGGGGATACAGAAACCTGGCTTCCACTACTTTTGGTCGCAGCTCTTTACTATTGTTTCCACATTCGATGATATGGGATAATGCCAAATCAAGATCGCAGGTATGCTGAAGCAAGTACTGAACAACCTCAAACACGGACCTCATGTATTCATCTTCAAATCCGTTAGATAAACCTTCCAACTCTACACATCATTCCTTCACTTAAATGCAGATCCACATTCGCTTCCACTAAACTATGATCAAAATCGTATCCGGTATCCCAATCATGGTAAAATTTTCCTTTTGTAATGAAGACCAATTGCAACATTGTATCTGCATTTATCATTGACATGATTCCGACTGCCACGTAGTGAGAAAATCTCTTATTTGAATTCAGTGCCAACCGGAAATAAGCGAACCTGGAAACAAGATTACGCTTGACATAACCAGTGAAGTCGTTGTTTGGAGACTAGGTGATGTGACTCAGAATCGATCAAAGTGGTCCAGTTGCATGCATACCTTATCTTCAGCTTGACTGTCACATGAGACTTTACTTACATAAACTCATCTACTTATCGAAGGTTGCCTATCATTGGTCGTTCAGATATTACACAAAGAGATTCTGTCACGCTGCTACAGTATTTGATGCCCTAAGCTGATCAGCGTATCCCAGCTATTTTAACTTCTTTAAGGATCTTGAAAGTATTTTCGCACGTCCTGGCACATACAACTTGTGTTTGTGATGGAAAAGCCTTCCAAAATTTTACTGAATGAAAAAGTAATTGAATGCACTTGTCGCATGAAAAATCTCACTAGAAATATTATAGTGATTGGTTATTTTGTCAGCTACCTCTTGCAATTTACTTTGGAGGCATTCCGGGTTCGATTCACTTCAAAGTTTTTCCGTCACAGATTAATATAAGCCAAAGATTTATTGAAAACCTGGGAACATTCTAAACCGCCAGTTGTGTCAGGCAAATAATCACCGGTGGCATCAGATGATGGTCACGCTGTGACGAAGTGACAGAAGTCGGAAACGTCTTTCGTTGAATTTAGACCCACTAACTGAATGAGAATGTAAAAATTTCGAGACATGAAGGTTTGGCTCCGACCTCATATTTAGTTTGTGGTTGTGCACTGCTGACAAGTTCTAAGCTAGCGTAGAACGTTAGGTCACTAATCCCAAGTTTTAGGCGATTCTCTGGCGGATATCGATTCGTAATTAAAACTTCCTTTGGTATATCGTGACACGGAAGAATTTAACATACTCATGTGTAGCTAGTTTAGTCATTATGGCGTATGTCAAACGATATCATGTTTTTCTTACTGACTATTCATTTGATTTTATGTTATTATTACTATAGTTAGCGAAATTAGATAATGAGTTCTATTATTACTGTTCCCTAACATATTTTATTAATATAGCTCGGAGATGATATGGTCTATCTGTGCCAACTCTCACAACATCTGCTTACAATGTTGGATCAAGTTATTCGATACGTTGAGAATGTTATCGATGAGAAATGTCCAGCTGATCCGAAAATTGGACGATCTATTGCTCAGTTAATTTTTTCAATCCCGAAGCTAGACCCTGATCATTTGGAGCAATTGATCAATTCGAGTTATAAAGATTTACTAATGGTCACTTATCTCACAAATCTTATCCGAACTCATTTGAAGATTTTAAATTTATCCCAATGAATATGTATACCAGTTGGAAAGCTAAATGCTGGACAGATTATGCTATTGTAAATGCCAACAACCGATTGATAAATATCTCTTGATACCACTATGTTTTTTGTTAGGTGAAATATATATGTCTTTGGATGTGGAAACTGGTGTTTGTCTGGAGTTTTAATTATTCAAATTAGAGTTACGTGCAGTCGAAGCATTGTTAATTTTCGAGGTTTTCATGTTTTTCTTGAAATCAGAATGCATGTACTTCTGATATAGCGACAACCACTCGCTGATTCCTTCCAAGATGACAATGGTTATAAGAAGTGTTTAAGATCATCAAAAATATTCTGTTTTTAAAAGTACACTTAACTAGGAGGAAAAGCAAGGTGCACTGTCGGTCTGTTTAATGGTTATATCACTAGGCTCCTTGTTATAGTCCAGATTATTTATATTTATTTTGTGATGTTGACCAGCACACTCTCACTTAGCTATCTCTAACGATGATATAAGTTGTTTGTGGATCATTATATATAGTCCATGATTTAAGTCATAACTCCATCTTTTCGAAAGAAGTCACTATACAGCTCAGTAGCAGAATTATAAATACATATGTGTAACATCCAACCTACTTTGAAAATGTATTTTTGAAATCATCAAAATAAGCTCATAAAATTTCTAAAACGTAGTGTTCATAAAATAGGCTTGTTATATCTCTTACATAGAAATGACTGACAAGAGTTGTACCTGACTCCTCGCCTAAAAAAATAAGAGCTTGAATACTACGGAACAGTATCTTCACTTAGAAGTGGCCATCAAGACTCGATGACCTAGTGGAAACCGCTCTGGCGTTCGAAGCGATCAATCCCGCGTTCAAGTCTCATTACAATTATTTTATTATTTATCCCTTGGGTTCTTAGTAAAACATAGGCCTTCAGTAGCACGTCTCCACTTCACTCTCTTCTCTACAGTCTTTTGAACTTGGCTCCACGAATGCCTAGAAGCTTTCATTTCTTCCTCACACGATCTCCTCCATGTCACTCTCACCTCGGACGCCCAACTCGTCGTTTCCCACGCGGGTTCCACTCGAAGGCCTAGTGTGTGAGATATCCCTAGACCGTCTTCTCAATGTATGGCCAATCCAATCCATCTTCACTTTCTTCTGCATATTTGTTGCGCGATAGGTTCTTGGATAGTTTGTCGCCAGGTCAGAATCTCTTGTTGCTTATTCTTATTATTCTGGACACCTGATCGATATTCAGTTTGGAGTGAGCTTGGGCGGCAGCTGTTGATGTAATGTGATGTGTGTCTGTAGTTTGTTGGAAATGCTCTTCGTAACGCGCCAAGTCTCAACCATATAGAAGCACTGACGTGACCTGGCTTCGACGTCGTCATTTGTCCCGTGCGTCGCCTGTAGTTGGAACAATGCTACCTAGGTAGGTGAAAGAGACAACTTCATTAGATTTCTCCCATTGATGGTGATTGGTGCTTGTTGTTGGTGGTTGGGTATCTTCAGTATGTTCACCTGAAGGAAGTGGCGTCTTCGCTGCCCTGCCTCGCTTCCTCTGTCAACTTGTTACTTTTCGCCTGTAGATCTTCGAGTTTGTACGACAAGGTATTGGACATAAGTCATCATCGGCGAAATCCAAATCTTCTCTTGGGGTCTTTTCATCGGTGCAGCTAGCGTATGGCCATCTTCTCGATTTTCACAGTTTGTTGAATGATCCAGTCCAGTCCAGTCGTCCCCAATCAGGAAGACCGTTGGTGATGGTATCTGGCAGCCTTGTCTTACTCCTGTCTTTACTCCGAAGGCATCACTGAGCTTTCCACTGTGAACCAATTGGCATGTAGCATCACATAGCACAGCATATAGCTGTTGAATGAGGTTGATAAATGTTTGTTGCACTAAATCCGTAGTGTTGAAGCAGCTGTCAACTTACTTATTCGTCGACGCTGTCGAAGGCCTTTTCGACATCAATGAAGTTGAGGCATTCTAGGCTCTGTTGTATGATGGTGCGTAGCGTTGCAATTCGATCCGGACATGATTTGTTTTTCCTGAAGCCAGGCGGTTCCTGTCGTAATTTTGAATCCGGCGCATCTTTTAGTCTCTCCAGGATGGTGTGATTCAAGAGTTTTATGAAGTAGTCAACCCATCGTTTCCTTTTTTTCCCCTCTTTGCTAACTGGGTTTCCTTCACTGTCTTTCATTTGTTTCATCTGCGTTGATCTCTTCCCTCCCAGATAGTAACCTGGTTATTTGATATGGTGTTGTCAAGTCTCTGTTTCTCCTACCAGCAGCCTGTTCTGCTTCACTTGCAATTGTGTCATAGAAGTATCTTTTATCTTTCTGCGCACTTTTCACTTCTTTGTCCAGTGTTTTATATCTTGTGTTCAGTTTCTCTTTCCGTTGTTCATCCTCTGCTTTACTGTCTTCTTCTCGTCTATCAGCTTCCATGTGTCCGTGGAGATGTATTCCGTGTCTTGTTTATTTCTCCTTCCTTACACGGTTATGCAGGTTTCCTTGCACGTCGCTTTCACAGAGTTTCAGTGTTTTTCTACGCAGGTTTCCTCTAGGATGTTGCTTAGTGTCTCCCATTTTTTCCTGATGACTGATGTGAAGATGTTCTTTGTAGTTTCGTCCTTCGGCTCAGTTTCTGTTCTGGGTGTTGAACTTGAACTGTGACCTATCACCAGCTTCTTCTTCGAAGGCTTTCAACCTGATTTTGAAGGTAGGTTGTTTGCACTAGATAGTGAGTGATGTGAACCTACATCTGCTCCCCTTCTTGATCTGATCTTGAGTTCAGTAGGCTGCGTCTCCACATTCTTGAAATTGAGATGAAGTTGACCTGATATTTATTGTGTCGTCGTGTCTGGTGAAATCCATGTTGCTTTGTGAATATTTTTGTGTTTGTACACACTGCCTCACCTCCAATCACCAAATCGTTGAATGTGCAGAAGTCTGCAAACAGTTCTCCATTCTCATTCATCACTTTACCGAGTGCCTCTTGACCCACGATGAGTTCTTTTCCTGTATTGTAGTTGTCTATAGGATTCCTCCTTCATTTGATCTGCATTATTTGTAGTTGCGTAGCGCAGCATTGTATGATTATAACTTTCCTTCCTCTTGATTTGAATCTTGCTGTCATGATCCTGCAGGAGGAGATTGGCTCCCACTGCATGAGAGCCTTCGATGCTCCTGGGAACATCGTGATAGCCACTCGAAGACTCAGTATGCTCGTGATTGTCGTCTGGGTGACAATATCGGAGTAGATTATTGACTCTCCAGTAGACAGTTTGGAGAGTCCACTTCCATTCCATCTGCTGTCGCAGATTCCTAGTCTAGCACTTCTATGTTATACTTCCTCATGTCATTGGCGATTTGGGCAGCCTTGCCAGCCAGCTTCAAACATTGTCCGGACATTCCATTTCCCCATTCTTGCTTTCACTTTCATTGAGAGAAGAGGAGGTACATCGGCCAATTGGCCTCTTGAAGGTTTTCACCAACCGGTGTTATTTCGTCTCCCTGATTCCAGCGAAGTACAAGTGTGTTATTATTTTCTATACTTCGTCTGTGTTTTGAAGTTTCTTTAGCGAATGGATTGGTTTTACGGGGTAGGGTTGTTAGTCCTCTGCCGAACTTTCTCTCTTTATCTGGGCTTAGGACCGGCCGGTAACTAGTTAACCGGGTGAGGCTCTGAAGAGCAGATGACCAGAATAATAAGAATAAGCAACAAGAGATTCTGACCTGGCAACAAGCTATCCAAGAACCTATCGCGCAACAAATATGCAGAAGAAAGTGAAGATGGATTGGATTGGCCATACATTGAGAAGACGGTCTAGGGATATCTCACACACTAGGCCTTCGAGTGGAACCCGCGTGGGAAACGACGAGTTGGGCGTCCGAGGTGAGAGTGACATGGAGGAGATCGCGTGAGGAAGAAATGAAAGCTTCTAGGTATTCACGGAGCCAAGTTCAAAAGACTGTAGAGAAGAGAGTGAAGTGGAGACGTGTTACTGAACGCATATGTTCCAATAGGAAAATGATAGATACAAATAATGCTAATATGGCACTGCAGATTTGGTTTATTCCAGTTATTCGTTAGTATCTGTTTTGGTTTAGGACACTGCGTAAGTTCCGGTTTCCTGTGATAGGAATATCAGTTACTTAATCACTCTGCTGGATGTTTTCAGTCCTGTCATGTGAAATGCAAGTAGAAGGAAGACGTTGATCATGGACATCTGACGTGTAAAATGAGCTTTTATGAGACTCACACACGCTAATGCGCGAATCATTTATCTTCGCTTCATGTAATGTTGCTTCCAGTGGGGGGTATATCATATACGTACATGGATGGTACTAACGCTGAAGAGAAAATTTTGTGAGTCTTACCTCAGTCATGCGAAGAAAACTGCTAGATGACTTTAAAAACCGAATGAACAGGCGCTGTCATAGATTTCAATTTATCATCCTTATATTAGTTGAAGCATGATAGATTTTTGCCTAAAATATATTTTGGATATTTGTAATTTATTGTAACTTAGTATTCGCATTTTCCGTTTTGCAATATAATCTTCGGTACTATGTACACTCATTATAATTTCATCCTTTGAGAATTAAATAAAAGTATCTAAACTTTGTCTTTACATATTGTCTAATTCACATAGACAGTTACTAAGATCGTCGGTATCACTAATCGACGTCAGTGTTGTTATTCTACTTATTTATCCCTTTAAAGTAGAAAGGCTGTTGTATAAGATACGCTGAAACATGGAGGAAATTATTTCAGTGTATAAACATAATGAGATATTACAAGTTTGCAATTACCGTCCCAGATCCTTATTCTTCAACCGTCATCCTATTCACTGTTCTTATTCCTGAAATAAAAACTTAAAATTAATTAGTAGTGGATAACATATATCTACAGAACGGGTTCCCGCTCAGATTCATAGATAAGAACATAGAGCCAAAGAATCCAAGTAAACGAAGACATTTGGCGCCGATTCTTTTGTTGAATCTTGAATTCAAAA